GGGGGGGGGGAGTCATCCTCCCCCATTCTCCCCCATTTTGCATAGAAATGGAATAATCTAGACACGCTCTTAAAAAGACCCTGAGCCTGAACCGCCACCCTGCTGCCACGCTCCTCAGCCCCTTCCTTCTCCTACCCTCTCGTGTCTCCTCGGCCTGGTCCAGCTCCAGTTTGGTCAGCAGGCTCACAAACCACTCGAAAGACCGCTGGTCTCGATTGATCCAGATGAAGTCCACCTAGGGGGAGGGGCCCTTCTGCTCAGAGCTGGTGCTGCCTTGCTCACAGCACGCTCACACCTGTGGTCCCCACCGCGGGATGACCACCTGGGGGTCAGCAGGGCACACATTATCACCCCCATTTAATGGAGGGGGAAACTGAGGCTTGCAGAGGTAGGAACCTTGCCCAGGTCACAGGGCAGCGTGGGATCAGGACCCAGGTTCCTGACCGCCGGCTTGGGGTTTTCTGTAATGATCTATTTGTTTATAGCAAGCAGGGTTCTGAAATAGGAAGCTTAGGAAGAAGCCAACAGAACATTAGTTAATTATTTTTTAGAAACTCTTTTCAGTGGTCTATAGAAAATAATGAATTTTCAAAAGGCAAACGTTTTCATTTTTAAAATCACCACCAGGCAATGGTAAACACATCATGGCTGTAACTGGATCCCAGGTGCCTGACTTTCGGGCTCCCAGGTCTTTAGTGGGATTCCATCTTCAGGGCCCGCAATGCCTCTCAGAAGTGACAGGGGAAGGCCTGGATGCTCGGGAGGCACCATAGGGAACAGTGGATCCAAGCAGGGGAGAGAGCCATCTGTCCCTTCCCCTCATCTGCAGCAGAAAGCCCACTGTGGTTCAGGGAGGTTTCCGGGAGACAGGGCCCAGAGGCCTGCCTGGAGGAGGTGGCGCTCACCTTGTGGAGCTTCATGTCCTCATCCTGGACGTCGTCCATCCAGGAGTGCTGGCAGCTGGGGCAGATGTGCTTCCTCTTCTGGTGCCTGGGGCGAGGTGATGAGGGATTTTGAATTTGGGGTGAGTATAAGACTTCTCAGGACCCCAAAGAACAGTGCAGGGGGCAGGGGAAAAGGGTGGGGTGGCAGGGCCTGACCTGTGAGGAAGCGGAGGGATGAGAGCCAAAAGAGAGAGGGAGGGGGAGCAGGGGAGGAAAGAGAAAAAAGGGTGAAAGGAGATGAGGGAAGCGCAAGGGGGAGGGAAGAGAGGAGAGAGGAGAGTGTCTCTGGACTCTGTCCCGGGATGCAGCCCACCCGCCCACCTGTACATGATGCTCTGCAGGATGGAAGCGAACGGGGTGATGCCGATGCCTGCTCCGATGAGCACCGCATGCTCAGAGGCAAAGATCCTGCGGGTGGGGGTTCCGTAAGGGCCGTCGATATAGCACTGTGAACAAACAGGAGGGCGTTCGAGGGGAGGGCTGGAGGCATGGGGGAGAGCTGAACCCCAAGGCTTCAGCATCTCCCTTTTACATGCAGGCAGTCACCTCCCGGGCTGGAGCCCCGATCTAAGTGGCTCCCACTGCACTGCCTGGAGCCCAAATCGGGGAGAGCCCTGGAATATTAGAAGGCAGAACTGGTGAGAGTGGGACCCAGCCAGCATCCCTGTGTGCACCTGCAAGGGGACGGGTTCGATCCCCTTCTCTGGATACCGGGAAGTCAGGCCCTGGGGACTTGAGGGACTGGGGTACCCGGGGCCACGGCAAGCCCTCCCTGCAGGCAGAGGCTTCATATTCTCTGGTTGCGGCAGGGATTCTCGGTCATGTCCACCTGCTGGAGCCTCCTACCTTGATGTTGCAAAACAGATGGTTCTCAGAGGACATCTCGGAGACCTGCGATGAGCAGAGAGTTGTGGGTCTCTGGGAGTGGAGGGGTCAGGCAATTCTCAGAGGCATCCTGGCCTCTGCCAGTCTGGGCACCTTCACAAAAGGGGAATTGCTTTTTCTGCCCCAAGCATGGCAGGGAGCATGGAGTGTGCCGGTAACCCGGCTCTTCAGGAAAAGAAAACAACAACACGCTCCTGACTGGTAGCGTCTGGAGATTTCTGGTAGAAACACTGCCATCATGGCGGCCACCATCATGACTGTGTCTAAGGACCGGCTCTCAAAGCTCCTGAAAATCTAACAGTTGGCTCTTGTGATCCAATACAAATCAGCTCCAGTGGGTGACTGGAGAACACTCCCTCCCCCTATCTCCGGCCACCACTATACCTTTCGCGTCTCCAAACACACCCCCTGGCCTTGACCATTCTTTTCCCTCAGCTGAGAACAACACCCTTTCCTCTTCCCCAGCTGGCAAATTCCTATGCATCTTCCAGAGTCCAGCTCATCTAAAGTAGCTGCTCCTTCTTGAAGTTCTGCCCGGCTTCGCCAGGCAGAAAAGCCAGTGGCTGGCCTGGCTCATGGCTCCACTCTGCCCTTGGGACCCTGTCCTGGGCTTGCTGATGGGAGCCACTGGGGGCAGGGAGGAGGCCTCTTCTGTCTGCTCTGCCTGATTCCTCCAGGCCTGAGCACATGACAGACCGGATTTGGGAGGTCAGCGCACTTCCTCCCACAAGGTGAAGGAAGTAGAACTCCCCCACCCCCCCCACCCCAAAACAGGCTATAGGGGCCTGTGATAGTTCCCTGTCTGCTGCTGGAGGGCAGAGTTAGGAGTGACCTTCACAATTACCCAGAGCAGTCCCTCACTTGACAGAAAAGGAGCCCAGTCTAAGAGTGGGAACAAGCTCAGGGGAGAGCCTGGGTCTCCTGCTGACCGTCCAGTGCCCGTCACACTACAGCATGCTGCTTCTTTGTCCGGGGGCCACTGAATGCTGTGTCCCCCACGGTGTCAGACTTCAACTACTTGTGTAGGAGGTACCCCGGACAAGAGCTACTCTCTTTTCCGTGGTCTTTAAACCTTCCAATTGCAAGGAGAAAGCCCACATCGCGCTTAGTAATCTTTAACGTGCTACGCTTACCAAGCCCACCTCTTTCTTTTTCTTGTACTAAAGCAAGAAAGAGAAAGAGCATGAGAGAGAGAGAGAGAGAGAGAGAGAGAGAGAAGGAGAAGGAGCAGCAGAGTGTGGCTTCAGGCTCAGAGCGTCAGCAGGCAGGAACATCTGGCCAGAATTGATTAAGATTGGCTTTTATTGATTTTACTTTTTTTTTCCTAAATTTTTTTTTCCTTAATGTTTTTGTTTTTTTGAGAGAGACACAGAGTGTGAGTGGGGAAGGGGCAGAGAGAGGGAGACACAGAATCCGAAGCAGGCTCCAGGCTCTGAGCTGTCAGCACAGAGGCCGTCGCGGGGCTCAAACCCACGAACTGTGAGATCATACCTGAGATGAAGTCGGATGCTCAACCGACTGAGCCACCCAGGCGCTCCTTGATTTTACTTTGAGAGTTACCTTCTGATTAGGGCACACGATACTAGTTTACCATTCAAGATAGCAATCTACAGCATCCTTTTAAATGCAAGTAAGTTTATAGGGACACCTGGGTGGCTCAGTTGGTTAAGCGTCCTACTTCAGCTCAGGTCATGATCTCACCACTTGTGGGTGCGAGCCCCGCGTCGGGCTCTGTGCTGACAGCTCAGAGCCTGGAGCCTGCTTCGGATTCTGTGTCTCCCTCTCTCTGCCCCTCCCCTGATCACACTCAGTCTCTCTCTCCCTCAAAACTAAATAAACATTAAAGAAAAAAAATTTTTTTAAATACAAGTAAGTTTAAAGTCATGTTGGGGTATGAGGAGAGAGACCAGGTAGGAAATATTCCCAGTGAGGAGCGAACACGGCAGAAGTTAGGAAGGCAGTGTGCACATGCCTGGCTGCAGGAGCACCACATAATATGCACGGCTTCGTGCGTGTGGCTGCCCTTAAGGACCTCTCTCCTGAGTCCCATGGATCCACCACCCCGGGGACACAAAGGCCGGCTCTCCCACCTCCAGCCCCAGCTTCCTGAGCCTTACCAGACCCCACTCAGACGTGGTTCTCCGCTGTGCCTGAGCCGATTCCTCTGTCCCTGTGGGCACCGGGCCTGGGTCCCCATGCTGTGGAGTCCCCCTGGGCCTGTAGGATGTCAGCTCCACGATGACATCCTTGCTGGAGGCCACAGCTCCCTGCACCGCGGCTCCGGACTGGACGGGCTGGCACTGAAAACTCTGTTTGGTTTTGAAGTGGAAATGGCTTTATTATTTAAATCATGAAACTAGGGTGCCTGGGTGGCTCAGGTGGTTGAGCATCCAACTCTTGATTTCGGCTCAGATCATGATCTCGTGGGTTCGTGAGTTCGAGCCCCACGTCAGGCTCTGTGCTGACAGTGTGGAGGCTGCTTGGGATTCTCTTGCCCTCTCTCTCTGCCCCTCCCCTGCTCAAGCTCTTTCTCTCTCTCTCTCAAAATAAATAAACATTTAAAAAAATTTAGGGGCGCCTGGGTGGCGCAGTCGGTTAAGCGTCTGACTTCAGCCAGGTCACGATCTCGCGGTCTGTGAGTTCGAGCCCCGCGTCAGGCTCTGGGCTGATGGCTCAGAGCCTGGAGCCTGTTTCCGATTCTGTGTCTCCCTCTCTCTCTGCCCCTCCCCCGTTCATGCTCTGTCTCTCTCTGTCCCAAAAATAAATAAATGTTGAAAAAAAAATTTAAATCATGAAGTCAATACATGTTAGTTTTTAAAGATTCACATGTTACAGAACTATAAAGAATAAGGTGAAAAAGTACCCTGAATAAAGTGGAATCACTTCTCTAAACACTTTTTTCTATGTCCTTCCAGACTTTTACTCTCTCTCTCTTTTACATAAATGAAACATATTGCTTTGTAACCTGCCTTTTCCACTCACTACATCTTGACTAGCTTTCCATGCTAATGCATATACATTTACATAATCTTTTTTAAGGAACTTACTATTCTGTGATAAGGGTGATCAGTAATTTATTTAGCTACATCCCTAGTGTTGGACAATTTTGATTATCCCCATTTTCTCATTAGTGTTAATTAACAACCACCATATAGAAGATAACATCTTTCCCATCTCTATCCCTTTACCCTGATTTATTTTTCTTCATGGCACGTATTATCACCTGACACATTATGTCTGTATTTTGTTTGTTTATTGTCTACCTCTCCCTCTGGAATGGAAGCAGGCACTGCATCACTGTTGCTTACGGATTTATCTCCAGCATCTAGAATAGCACTTGGAAAACAGTAGGTGCTGTGCTCAGTAAATATTTGCTAAATGAATGAAGGAACAAGGTGATTAATGTACTTCCTGTGCAGCTACCCAATTAGCTTTTTAGGACAAATCCCTAAAAATGGAATGGCTGGGCCTGTGGGTATACATATTTAAAATGTTGACGCATGTGGCCAGACTGCCTGCCAGAAAGATTATGCCAATCTATTCTATGGCGGTGGTACCTTAAGGTCCTAAAGAAACACAGTCTTTAAGTATCTACCCACAGATTCCTGGTGTGCATGACTCTCCCGGTTTTCAAAGCCAGCTTCCTCCTTCAGAAAGGTTCCCCTGATTAAGAACAGAGAACGTTCTGCTTGTTTCTACTGACCCCTTCATCTTTCTAGAGGGCTTCATGATCTGGCCTGGCAGGATTCCGCCTGGTTTTTCTCCCCTCAGAGTTTAAATTCCACAGGGGCACGACAGGGCTGAGCCAGGCCCGGGGCTGCTTTTCCTTTGACCTTCAGCAGGGGCTTCCCCACATTAACATGTCTCCCAACTGAGCCGTACAGCCTACTAGGTGTGGGTTCGGGCGCCTTAGCCTCCTTTGTCCGTTCTCACTGTCATCTCGCTGCCCTCCTCCAAAACCTCCCCGAGTCAGTATTCGTTCCAGACACTGGCAACTTGTCAGCTTCGTGGGTTCATCAGGGCTCAAAAGATAACAGTGCTGCCGCTGATGCTGCTGACGCTGATGGTGAATGGTCCACGTGGACCGTGCTGTCCCGTTAGCTCAGGGCTTTCCCTGCATTCATTCCATCATTGGCCCTTAAAAAGCATCACGTGAGAAAGGGAGGCCAAGGACGGGAACCATCTGCAGTTAGTCCATTGATGACTAAGCTAAAGCTCGAGTAAGCGAAGGGACATACAAGGCCGTACAGTCACAAGGTGCTGGAGCAGGGACGTGGAGGCGGGGTTTTCCGATCTCAATCTCCCCTCTCTTTCCATTGTCCACCTGGCTTCTAACGGAGGACTTGGGACTCGGGAGGTCCTGGGGCGGGTGGGCTGTTGGATCACACTGTCCACAGTTGCCTCGCCCCCTGTGCTGCCGTCCAGCCAGTGTATACAGCCGTTGCTCAATGATTGATGTTCACCATTGAGAACATCAGCAACTCGGTCCCCACTGGGTTTGACTCCACAGTGGACCCTTCCTCCCCTGAAGCAACCTACCTGGGGCTTCCTCTGGCTCCTTCTCATCCTCAAACTCCTTGACAGCCGTTTGGAGTCCACAGGGTCTGATGTCTTGAAGGACTCATACAGCCTGTTTGTCCACTGCCCTTGGGACCGGACGTGTAGCCAGATGGTGTCTGAGCAAGAGACAGGGCAGGGGGAGAGGGGGTCAGCGCCGGCCTCCACCAGGGAGCAGGCCCGTCTCACCTGAGGGACTGGGGCTGGGCATCTACTGCTCAAGCTCCAAACTGAATGTCCTTCTGCGGGCCCAAACTAGCAGTCCCAGCCCTGGGACTTGGAAATCTCATCTCTCTGGTGCAGATATTGTAGTCTTCGTCCATGAAGTCAACTTAAGCCGTCTGCTCTGCCAAGACCAGGGTCAGAGCGGCCCTGAGCACGCTAGAAGCTCTGTGGGGGAGGGGGCCCTGCCTCCTCCATCAGGCCAGGGTCTCACCAAGGTGGCGACCACTCCCTCCCACATTCAACCAGGTGCTTGTCAACGACTCTGCACACAGTAGGTGTTCAGCCTGTGGCACGAACAATGGCTTTCATTGTGCCCAGTACCTGGGATGTAGCTTCTCGCTGAGGGGTGACCGGCAGAAAGGTGGTGTGGGTGGCCACCCCTCTGCTGAAGGGTACCAGAGAGAATCCACAACATTTGAACAAGGAGGACCCCCCCCCCCCCAAGAGATCTCGTGCTCAGGCATTCTTACCCTTTAAACAATTTCTTTAAACCATGGGGGCGCCTGGGTGGCTCAGTGGGTTAAGCGTCCGATTTGATTTCAGCTCAGGTCATGATCTCACTGTTCATGAGTTTGAGCCCCACATCGGGCTCTGTGCTGACCCTGCAGAGACTGCTTGGGATTCTCTCTCTCTCTCTCCCTCTCTCTCTTGCTTGCACTTTCTCTGTCTCTCTCAAAATAAAGAAATAAACTTAAAAAACATTTTAAACCATGGACTCTCTTGGCAGTCCTGTGGATACAATGGAGAGACTCCTTCTCAGAGCAAGGTTTTTTAAATACGCAAAGTCACACATATGGAAATCACAAATGAAACAGCATGTATTTGTTTGCAAAAAAGCCAAAAAGCCAAAAAACAAGCACCCCCCCCCCCAAATGTGTGATTGAAGAATACGTCTGCTTCTTTGCCAACACAGGACTATGAGGTCCCGCCAGAATTGCGTGGCCACGGAAACCTGAAGTCGTTGATGAGCATAAAGGATATCCCGAGGTGCCGGCAACCATGACAATGCGATCTCAAAGAACCTTGTGATTTTTATTTTGAAAGAGTCACAGGTATTGTTAATGCTTCTGTGGCTGGCTGTGGGCATTCACAATCGAAGAAGATGCTAAGGTTCAGTTAATTCCCCAAGGCTTCCTCTCCCTTGACCCTACAAGTACCAGGGGGGCTGGGCTGTGACTTGTTTACACAACACACTCTGAGGCGCCCCACACAGTGAGTGCATGTGGGGGGGGGGCCTCCCTAAACGCTGGGAGAATGCAATCAGTTACTACTGGCGACCTGAGTCCACTCCTGATTTCTGTGAGCCAGCTCCATAAACCAACTCGGAGTATGTACCAGCCCTCATATGGACTCACTCAGCCCACCACAGGAGGCTCAGGGCCCGAGAGACAGGCAGGTTCCAAGCAAACGCCCTGAAGAAACCCCATTCGAGAATCAGCCAAGTCAATGGCACATCCATCTAGTGCATGTGGTCATTTTAATCATACTGGTATCACTATACTGGAATACTATGCAGCCATGCAAAGGGAATTTCTTATTTATTTTTTTTTGTATTTTTAAAAATGGTTATTTATTTATTAGAAAATTTTTTTAACATTTATTCATTTTTGAGAGACAGAGAAACAGAGCATGAGCCAGGGAGGGGTAGAGAGAGAGGGAGACACAGAATCCGAAGCAGGCTCCAGGCTCTGAGCTGTCAGCCCAGAGCCCGAGGCGGGTCTTGAACTCACGAACTGTGAGATCATGACCTGAGCTGAAACTGGACACTCAACCGACTGGCCCACCCAGGCACCCCTTAGAAAGTTTGTTTTTTTTTTTAAAGAACTGACATGCAAAGACTTTTATGACATACTGCTCACAGAGAAAAGGTGGGCTGCAAAACAGTGTGAAGAGTCTGACCCCGTGTAGGCAAAACCATCTCCACATCTATAGAACTACGTGGGTATATAAAGACAGATCTGGAAGACTGTTCACCAGAAGACTGACAAGGGCTTTCTCTGGATGGCATTGTTTGAGGGATTTTAATTTTCTTCTGTGCATATTCCTATACGGTTTGAATTTTCTGAGAGCAGATCTCTTCTGGAGAAACAGAACGGGAAAGAAAAATAGGAGAAAAGAACCTTCCCCCTCCTGCCTCCGCCCCCACCTTTGCCCCGTTGTACGTCCAAGCCACCACTCAGGTGACTCCAGGGCAGGTGGTACGTAGCCTCACATGAGGAACCCTTGCCTTGGGTCTGAACTGTGGGGGCTGGGCCACGGGTCCTGCTGGGCCGGCGCTGGGAGGCATCCTAAATGGAACTAAAGTTTTTAATAGGGATGGGTCAGAGGAAACAGGCAACCCTTCATCCCTCATGAAGCCGAGCAAGGGTCAGGCAAGGCATTTGCTGCCAGAATTACCACTTAAGGTGGAAAGGCCGATCTCTGGCCTAGGAAGAGGGCACAGGTCTGGGTGCCGGCTCAACAACCTTCTGGTCCAGGACCAGAAGGATGGCATGTACATGGGTGGAGGCCAGAGGTCCCCTGGGTGAAGGGAGGGTCAGCTGAGCAGTTCCACAGGTGTGCTGGTGACTCAGAGAGCGATGGGAGTGGTCCAGGGATGGGGAAGAAGGATTGGAGGGATTCTGCTGCCTTGGGGCTCCACAGAGATGGGGGAAGCCTGGCTTCCCGCCACAGCGCCCTTGAGAACTCCCTGGCTCCTCTGAGTTCACTCCTCCTCTGCCTCAGACCCCTGCGGGCTCCCAAGTGCTGGCACCAACCATCCCCATTCAGAGTCCCCCTCGGGCCCACCCGGGCTCTAGCCAGCTTTGCCAGCCACCTTGTCTGCCTTTCACCTCTTCTCTGACCCTCTCTCCTGCCTCCCCGCCCTGTCCTTCCCTTCTTCCCTCCCCGCCCCACCCCCGATGTAGCGCCGACTACATTAAATTGCCCTGTGTTCCCAGCTTTCCATGCTGTTCCTTACGTCTTTTGCTCTGTCTCCTCCCTCATCTCCTTCTCTGTCTAGTAAGCTTCCTGGAGCTTTTGGAGGTCGACTTTGTGGCCCTGGCCTTGCTCACGTCCGGGTTCCCAGTTCCCAGCCCGCGCTTGGCACCAGGCAGAACTCGGTAAATGCCTGCCGAGCGAGCAGCGGGGCTGGCGTACCTTTCTGCTCCGGCGCGCTGCTGATGGTGAACGGGTGCCACTCGTAACGCGCAATGGTGGGGACGTTCAGATACAGGTAGTCGCCCGGCCTATAGTGGAACAGAGGGGGCCGCTTGATGAGCAGATGGGTGACCTGGGAAGAGAGGAAGATCGGGGTCATCCGTGCAGGCCCAGGGGCCCCCGGGCAATAGGGCAGAGGCTGGGTCATCCTCCTCTGTCACACACCAGGCCAGCCCTGGATGTGAGACCCTCCGGCCTGTGAGTGGGGCTTGGCCTGTGGCACCTCTGCCAGCCAGGTGGTAGGTGATGATCAGAGAAAGGGACAGTAGGGTTTGATCCTGGTTTGATCCCACTTCTTATGGGGTGAACACTGCTGGCAGTGGCCTTTCTCGGTGAAGCCCCCTGACTGCTGTAGCCCGTTTCTTGCAACTGCTGTAGTATTTGGCTGGCATCCAACCACTAATGGGCATCTCCCCCAGGAGAACAATATCCCCCTGGACAACAGCTTCTGTTTATTGGGCACCCACAGCATGCCAGACCCGCGCGAGGCACTTAAAAGTGTCATCTCTGGTCCTCATGGCAGTTCTCTGAGACGGATGCCATTCTTTCTCCGCTTTACAGATGAGACGCTAAGGCTCAGAATGGTTAAGGAGTTTGCTCAAGGCCACCAGCTAGGAAACCACGGGATCCGCAGCTAATCACGGCGGAGGCTGTCCAGAGCTGAGCCACCCAGAACTGCCTTCCCTTTCTCCATAAATGGCCTGGTCACTCAGCCACCCAGGAGATGTCCTAGGCTCCTTCCTCTCCCCGCCCCCAAATGCAGCCGGTTGCCTCTTGAGTCTTTCTGTGATATTCCACCCCTTTCCCATCCCACAGCCACTGCCCCTGTTTAGGGTCAAGGCTCTCATGAGCTCTCGTCTGCATATTGTGCAACAGCCCCCAAATGGTCCTCACTGGACCGTCTTCCACAGAGCCACGGCAGAAATCTAGCTGGAAAATAAACTGGCTTACTACCCCCATCCCCCTCCCCCTGATCAGGCGTTCCACCAGGCCCCGCCCACCCCTCTCCCTGGCACCTTGTAGCTGTGCTAAATTACCCATAGTCCCCAAGGACAGCACCCCTACCACAACTCGGTGCCTTTGCTCAGCCCGTTCCTTCTCCCAGGAGTACCCTTCCTTATCTTGTCTACGCAACAAACTCCTGCTCATGTCTCAAAACCCCGATGGGGCATCTCCTTCCGCATTCTGAAGCTTTCTCTGACCTCTCAAAGATAGTTTCCTACCTCCTGACACTCTGCTCTCACCCATACAGCCCTGCACTGTAACTAAAGGGCAAAGTAGGACAGTGCCCAAGCCGTCTTTGTGACCTGGCATAGGGCCTGGCAGTTTGCAGGCTCTTAAGACTGATCTTTCATGGTATCCTGCCTACCTGTCATGCCGCTTCCTAAAATGTCCCTCCTGAAGGCTAGACCAGATCCCACACTTTGCTTGTCTCCTCTGCTGTGCAGGGGCCATAGCTACGCTATTCCCTGCTTCCTTGCGGGTCTAGCAGGGTACCCAGCTGCTGCGCCCTACCATCCGCAACGCCCCTAGGCACCTCAGGCCCCCTTCACACCTTGGAGGGAAGGAGATTGACTTCCACGATGCACAGGGCTGCCATGCGGGACACTGCTAGCCCGATGGCCTTCTCCAGGAAGAACAAGATGCCAGGGACCAGAAGCCACTTCCAGAAGCTGGGCCCGTGCACAATGAGCAGGATCCACATGGGGAGGTAGCACAGATGAGTCCAATAGAACACCTGCAAGGGTGAGGAGGGAGGGGGCAGTAAGCTTCCAGAGCTCAAGTCCTGGGGGTGGAACAGGGAAGCCCCCAGAGCCTTGGTCATGCACTGCTCTCCTGGGGACAGGGGCTGGGGCTGGGAAGCTTTGGGGCTTATTTATTCTGGGCCGTTGGCCCAGGGATCGTATAAGGGTTCCTGGAGCTCACACCAAACATCCGAAACCTCTGCCTGGGGATGTTCTGGGCAGAGTGGAGTGCCCCCAAAGGGCTCATGAGCATCACGGTCCCCATCACATTGACCCTTTCTCAGGGGGACACAAAGACAGCCATTTCCTGAGCATGGAGAAGAAAAGAGCAGAGCACCGAGCTGGAATGCCTGCTCTACTACTGACTGTGGGAGCGTGGGCTAGGAAATTACTTGTCTGAGCATCAGATTCCTTGTGGGTCAAGCGAAGATGCAGATTCCGACTTCAAAGGATTGCTGCTGGTGCTCTCTCTCTGTCTACCTGATGTGGTTTGGTTTTGGGCTCCAAACCAAATCTGTGACCTCCTGCGCAGAACTAACGCTGCTCCGTTGGAGCATCAACGTGCCAGGTGTATACTTAGCGGCTTCACATATAGTATCCCATTTAATTCCTAACATAAATTCATAGGTAGAGAATTATAGGGCCATTTTATAGATGGGGAAGCTGAGTGAGCCTGTGTCCCTTCCCCTTCCTAGCTTAATCCCATTAGGGCAGGGGGCATGCCAGCAAACAGGCAGAATCTTCCAGAGCAGAACATTTTTCGCTTTGCAGACACGAACTGCAGCCCAGGGGAAGAACCCAAGTCGCGGGCACATAACATGCAGAGCAGCCTGGGCACTTCCTGGGCTCTGGAGTAAGTGAGAGGGGACACGGCATGAAACGAAGTTGGGAGGCCAGCCTGGGAGAGCAAAGGGGCAAGGGCCTGGCACCTCAAAGTGGCCGCTCCTTCGGATGCAGGAGCTGGAGCAGACAAACATAAGGAGCAGCAACAGCAGCAACGCCACTCCGGTCGGGGAGGCGGAGCCACGGACCCAGCCAATGCCGGGCCTCGTGGTGAGCAGCAGTTCCCAAAACCGGAAGGGGCTGGCCCCGGACTGAGCCTGGAGCGCTGGAGACAAGCACAAGACAAGCTGTTCCCTCTCCACCTTTCCCTTGGGGTCCCCACCCTTCCCCATCAGGCACCCACCCAGGCAGAGACCCCTTCTCCACCCACCGGGCATGCAGGGCACACAGGGCTGATAATGAGTGGTTTGTGGGTGGCCCACCGGGCTCCCGGCCCCCAGGCGACTCACCGAAGTTCGCAACGTGGGCCACGGTGTGCACAAGGGAGAGCCCAACCACCACCCAGCCCATGAGCTGGTGGAACTGGATGTTCTGGTCCAGCGGCAGGACCTGAGCCAGCCACGTGGCCCGCAGCCAAGTGAGGCAGCGTCTGAGCATCAGCACCTGGCCGGGCAAAGTGGCGGAGAGCCTCAGCTGGTGCGCTCGCGCGTGCTCGTTCTCTCTCTCTCTCTCTTTCTCTCTCTCGGCCCCGTTCTCTTTTCCCCGGCAGCCAACTCCCAGCCTCTTTCTGAGCTGTGTTTCCTGCACCGGCCGCTTCCCCATCTCCCCTGTCCCCAGGCCTTCACTGCCCCCCTAGGTCCACAGCTGGGGTGTCCAAAGCAGCGTCTCCAGAGTTGGGGCAGGAACAGAAAATGTTGCAGAATGACTGCTGGTATTACTTTGATCTAAACACAGGAGGAGTACATAAGCTTTTTGGTAACATTTAATATCTGTGTTGACATGGTGCCCTCATTTAGTCTTTACGTCAGACGTCACATGTTATGTCTAGTTCTCAAGGTGTCCTGGAGGAGAAAGACTGGCTTTTCCAAGGGGCTTTTGACAAGGGCTCCCTCCTTGCTCATTTGCTTTCAATGTACGTGTGCCCAGATATGTGGACTTGTAGATTACATTGTCTGATTCTAACAAAGCTAAAGTACCTCTCACAGAAAGGACAAGTAGCTTAAAAAGATTCCCTGCAGAGAAAGTGCTGATTGAAAGCAATGTTAATAATGCAAGAGCAAGTAACCAAGAAAATAAGTCATGGGTCTCCAACTCCCACACATAGCCAGTTCTGAGGATAAAAATAAAACCCACGGGGCACCTGGGTGGCTCAGTCGGTTGAGCATCCAACTCTTGATTTCAGCTCAGGTCATTAGCGCAACTGTTCAGTTGGGTTCGAGTGTCGAGTCGGGCTCTGCACTGGCAGCATAGAGCCTGCTTGGGATTGTCTCTCTTCCTCTCTCTCTGCCCCTCCCCTGCTCACGCTCTCTCTCTCTCTCTCTCTCTCAAAATAAACATTAAAAAAAAAACCCACATAAGAAGCTGATATTATCAAGAAGAGTATTTGAACTAAAGCTGTACATCCCTGATCATTAAGGATAACTCTTGCCATATAGTTAGTGTGCCGTAAGTCTAATAGCTAATGATAATAGGGCATGCACATAATTACAAGTAAATGAGCATGAATTGGGTTATTGGAAGGGATTTTTGTTTTAATTGTAGGAGCAGAATCGAAACCACTTGGAGACCTCACTCCCTGGCCCAGAGTATCATATTCTGACTCATTAGCCTGGCATTCAAGGGCTCTTACAGCGTGCTCTCTGCTTGGAGCCCTGCACAAGAGCCAGCCCCACCTCCTCCAGGGTCCACCATAAGGCTATTGTGAACATCAAACGGAAAGTGCTTAGCCCGGTGACTGTACAGAGTAAGTAAGTGCACAAAAATGCCAGCTGTGTTGGGCACCTGGGTGGCTCAGCCGGTTTGTGAGTTGCCCCCCCCCCCGCCC